AAATTCTAAGCAGACCACTTTTCACTCTTTGAAGTGTGTTGTAGGGGGTAACGTTGTACATGGATACGGTCTGAAAACGTCACGTGTCACAGTATCATGCTGTACAGCAGAATTTACATGTACCTCCTCTGTCAGCATTAGCTTTGCCGAATCCCGATCAAGATTCATGGAATTGGTTGGATCTGTGTATGTTCAATTTGTTGGATCCGAATCAGTATTCAACAGAGTTTAAGTTTGTAGTCCTTCTACCAGCAGCCCCATACTTCAATGCGTCGTATATGACGCATTCGGCAGCATGCAAAATCATGCCTAGCATGACAGTAAGCACCAGCCCACGAGGACATCCCGTAACCCTCAAACTACCCATGCATGGCACTCACAGTAGCTGTGAAAGTGTTCAACGGTGTGTTTCATGTTTTGCTTGTCCTCTGTTGTGTGCGTGTGTTTGGCAGATGCTGTAACATGCGGCGTTGCTTTCCATCATGCTGGCCTGGATCACACAGATAGAACGGCAATTGAATCGTTGTTTGCCAGTGGAGATCTTCCAGTCTTGAGTAAGACAACTGCTATCAGATGGCCATTGCTTACGTGCAATCTTGGCTTTACTTGCCTCGATATTAATGTTGGAGCTTTGCTTTCTGGTTCTTCTCCTAGCTCTGCGTTGTGCAGGGGTGTTGAGTTTGTTCTTTGTCACAGTAGGCTGTCAGCTACATGTAGCCTCAGTCCATCACTATGCGAAACAAGATGACATGTAATATACACATGCAACATTTAATTTGAGTCCTTGGTTGTTCGATTGTGTTTGTCATCTTGTCTCTGCAGTTGCAACAAGCACCTTGGCTATGGGGGTAAGATGCTGTCCTTTGTTCCTGAGAATGTAATATGCCTTTACTTTATGAAGCAAAATTCTTGTCAGTGATCTCCAGATGGAGCGAGTAAGAGACTGAAAGAGGCGCAGAGAGACAGAGGCAGGGACAGAGACAGAAAGAGAGAGGGAGGAAGAGGCAGAGGTAGAAAGAGAGATACAGACAGACAAACAGAGAGGACACTGGAACCTCTTTTATCTGGACCTTCCTCATCTGGGTACCCCTTTAACCAGGCACCCCTGTAACCAGGCACCCTGCAGGCAGATATGTCATTGGGACGAACTGTTCTCCTCACTCCCATCAGACAACTGACACCGAGATAAGACGAGACAACGGAATCTATTTTGAAGGCGTACAACGGGGACAAGACGAGAAAGTGTGTATACAACGGGGACAGAAGACGGTGCAGCCGCATGTACACAGGAGTCAAAGACAGCGCAGCAGCGTGTACAGTCGTCCCTCTCTAATCCGGCACTTGTTTATCCGGAACCCTTGCCAACCGGCGCACTTTCTGACAAAACCGATTTTTTTTCGTTCAATTCCTACATCTTAATCCGGCACTTGAATTCCGCCTCCGGCAGTGACTTTTTGAAACGAATCGCTCAAACTGCACGTAGTTTGATTTCATAATCCGGCTGTCGTAAATCGCGTACCGTACAGGTGCACTCCTTGCCAGGCCAGGCTAGGCCAGTCTGGTCAATGTTGTCCAGGAGACAACGGCAGTCAACCATACTTTCTTATTTTAGCAAGGAGTAGTGTCCTGCCAATTTTCAGGTGTGTGTGTGTGTGCGTGTGTGTGCAAGAGTACATGTGAACGTGTTCTCTGTTTTACTTGATCACTTTATCACTGTGTATATTCCCGGAGAACAATTGAGAATATAAAGCCGTGCACCAAATACTTGGGTCGACACGGAAAAACCCTGCGTTTTGACGTACATATGATACATGCATGCAATTGGGTAGGGCCGGGTCAGAGGGCAGGATTTCTTAATCCAGCACCCTCGTTAATCCAGCAGAAAACGCCGTAGCAAAAGGTGCCGGATTAGAGAGGGACGACTGTACCAGGGTTCAGCAGCATGTACAACAAAGAGACACAAACTCAGCAGCATGTACGACAAAGAGCTACACCCGCAGCCGCATGTACAGCGAAGAGGTGCAAACGCAGCCGCATGTACAACAGATATATGTAGTCACATCTTGATTTTTTACTGTGCATGCCTGTGCCATAGGGCAGGTTAGTTGTCTTGCGGAGAGTCTCAAGAAGAAGGCCCTTGGGAAGAATATGCGTACACATAAATAAAGGGCGCATGTGCTCTGCGGCGCAACCTGCGCAGTCCGCGCGCGGTTCGCACGCCGCCCGCGCGGACCCAACGCACACAGCACATGCGCCAAAAAGAGGATCGATCTCGCAGAGGTCACGGACAACACTTCAATCTGGGGCCAGAGAGGCCTACTGACAAGAATGGCATGTCATACCCATTACAGTTGTAGCATATTTCCCAGTAACTTGGAAGATTCTGTGATACAGACTTCCTTTGATCCTGAGGCAGCCAGCTAGGACAGGCTCTGCTACTGTATTCTTGTAGCAGAAGTATCTGCCAGTGGATGTCCTGGTGAGAAATCTTTATCCTTGTCTGCAGGTGAATCTTCCGGCTCACTTGGTAGTGGTCAAGTCAACGCAGCAGTATGTCTGCGGTGGATTTCGCGAGTACTCCGAAGTGCAGGTGGTGCAAATGATTGGCCGTGCTGGTCGACCTCAGGTATGGAGAGTATAACGTTACATGTCAGAATTTTAGTACAGTGGGACGTCAGTACAAAACACTCTGGAGATAACATACTGTCCACTTTGTATAGCATATAAAGTACTTTCTTTGAAGACCCAGATATCCTTTTCCAGTCATTTTACCTCGGATAGGAGTTCCTTGGCTATAATGATGTTCCTTGGAGGTACGTTACCAGGCCCGGAGGAAAGAGTTTTGGCATGGTCTGGCCAAACTTAGAGGGGGGGGGGGGGGTGCCGGGATCTCTCCGGGAGAAATTTTGAAAATTTACGTTAAAATGAGCGAATTTGGGCGTCTTGTGAGGCTCCAGAAAATGCTGAAGAAATCTAGTCAGGGAACGCAAACTAAACTTTTTTGATAATCATAAGTTTGACAGAGTGTTATAGCCAACAGAATAACACACTATATCGGTGATTCATCTTCTACCTTCTTCCTTCGTATAGGTATGTGTCGTTTCATGTCGCTTGTGCACTTTGTCATTTCGTATCGCTTCACGTTGTTTGCATGGAGTGTCACTTCATCCTCCTAACACATGGTTGGTTTCTGCATGCAATGTGCCATTCTTTCTTCATTTCAGTTTGATACATCTGCCACTGCTGTCATCATGACGCGACATGAAACCAGGGTAGGTGACATTGCCGAACAGCAGCTTCTGCTCTGACTTCCGTCTTGTGCTGCATTGATGCTCGAGTCGGGATTTTCTTTCTGGGCCGACTCCGGGTTGGAAACTTGGCACTGACTGTTGTTATTGCCATTATAGGTTGCTACACGGATGTTGCATTGAATGTGGGTCAGATTGCCTTTGTCTCCGTGTCGGTCGTAAATGTGGCGATTGCTGGCTTGGCGTGGGCTGTGTTCATCTAGAAAAAGTATGAAACACTTGTGAGCGGTACGCAGATGATCGAAAGCAGGTACGTTGTGATGCTATGGTGCTGACATTTTTAAGTCCTCGCTTGTGCACTTTAGTATTTCTGTCATAAAACCATTGTCTACAAGTATGCTTATGAATGAGACAACACTCCTGGGACTCAATAGTCAAGCTGGAAAGCAGACAATGTCACACAAAACAGTTAGAGATGTAGGCACTGCGCCGTCCATGGTAATGAAAATGAGCTAGCAAACCTAGAAACGGGATGGATGATGGTATTGTAAATTAGAGTGATATGGGTTTTTGCCTTGCGCATTATCTGCCCCCCCCCCCCCCCCCCCCTAAGTAATAAGCATGATGCTTGTATGGTCCCTGCCTAGACCATACAATGCTCTAATCATGCAGTTTATACACACACGTAACTGGCTCACTCTGAACTGCTCTGAACTCGGAATGTAATTATCTTCAACCAGACTCAGCTGCAGCAAGAGAAGACTGCCTCCGAACATCCCAAAACCAACTTCACACGAGCATGCATCTCTAGTGCGCATGCTCGTGAGAAGTCATAATAATATGACTTGACTGAGGGACACAACAATTCCCCCACCACTAGAAAAAGACGAACATGGAAAACAGTAATAAGAGTGGTTCAAATACGTATGGATGGCTACTATGCGAGTGTCTGATCTGCAACCAATTATGTCATCATTCGCTATAGAATTATAACCGATACCCATGGCTGACATAGTAACTATTCATGTATTTATGACGGCTAATACCTATAATTATTTGAACTATTTACAGAAACAAGGTTTGTATACACATTATAATACAGTTCATGACCACTGCAGTAACTGGAAACCACTACTTGGCTTGAGTGCGGTACCGTTCAGGTATGACAACCTGGCGGCCGGACCGGGTCGTACTAGTGTTCTGACCAGGTGTCGATGGTGTTGGCATTCTAGACTCAGACTCACTATCCGTAGGTATTGTCGTGGTTGTTGGTGTAGGGCTGACTGTTGACTGACTTGACGGTTGTTTCTCAGCGGTAGTAGGACTTGAACTTGAAACTGTACCGGTAGAAGAAACACTGGGACCAGTATCAGCGGATGACGATGGAGCCTGATGCGTCGATTTAGGGGGAGCTTCAGCCACATCCTCCCTCACAAACTCAGACAAAGGAACTGAACGTGCTCTCAACTGGTTGCGATGACGCTTCCACAAAGCATCCTGAACTTGAACTTGGTAGTTGACTGGACTGATGACTGACACGATGCGACCTGGGACCCACTTTGAACCATAAGAGCCAAAATTTAGAGTGAACACAGCGTCGCCTGGTTGGAATTCTGGGGTCTTGTTCATGTTGCGTTCGTAAGAGTCAACAGACGGTTTGGCGGTCTGTTTTAGCGTGTCAAAACGGGTACGTGGTTGACGCATCATAAGCATCTCAGCTGGTGACTTGTTGTTTGCTGAAGGGGTTGTACGATGTGACAGGAGGAAGCGTTGTAGCGTAGCGTGTAGGTCACCCTGCGTACCCATGGCTTTCAATTTTGACTTGAAAACCCCAACATAGCGTTCTGCTAACCCGTTGGTTGCCGGATGTCCAGGAGCGGAACAAGTGTGTCGAATGCCATTCTTGTGTAGGAATGATTGAAATTCTTCACTCGTGAATTGTGAGCCGTTGTCCGATACGATGTGATGTGGTAGGCCAAACAAGGCGAAGACACGGCGTAAAGCAGCGATAGTAGTAGCGGACGTTGCACGGTCCATAGGAACAATATCCAGAAATCGAGAATATGAATCAACAATGACAAGAAACATCTTGCCCATGAAAGGACCGGCGTAATCAATATGTAAACGTTGCCAAGGTCCCGTCGGCCATGACCAGCTACCAAACTCCTTCGCTGGCAGGCGTGCTTCAGCTTGGCATTCCGGACACTGAGCGCAAACCTGCTCCAAATCTCTGTCGATACGAGGCCACCACATGTAGCGACGTGCCAAGCGTTTCATACGAACTACACCTGTGTGTTCATAGTGAAGATCGTTCAGCAAGAACTCACGTAATGATTCTGGAACAATGACACGATCGTTCCAAAGAAGGATATTGTCAGACACAGACAACTCCCAGCGCTTCGCAAAGTACGGCTGTAGAGTTTGATCAATGGTTTCCGGCCACCCATTCAGTACATGGTGCCAAACTGTCTTCAGTATAGGATCCCGTTGCGTTTCGGTAGCAACTGTGTCCGCATCAATGACTTCGCTTTCAATGAATAGTACCTGTTCATCAGCTACCTCGTCGGAGCAGGGAGCGCCAGGACCAGGTTGGCGCGACATGAAATCAGCGAATGGGTTTTGGCGCCCTGGGATGTGCTTGATAGAGTAGTCGTATGCCGCTAGGGCCAACTTCCATTTCTTGAGTCTCGGTGACACCAAGTACGGAACGCCGTCTGTACACCCAAGCAGTTTAACAAGCGGCTGGTGGTCTGTTTCGAAAATGAACTTGCGACCGAGAAGGTACTGGCGGAAAGTAGTAGCTCCGAACACCACGGCAAGCGCCTCTCGCTCGATGTTAGAGTAGTTCTTTTCCGCCTTGGTCAAAACACGCGAGGCATATGCAATGGGACGGAAATGACCAGGTCGCTCTTCTTGCAATAGCACCGCTCCTAGACCTACGCCTGAGGCGTCAACTTGGACCTTGATGTCCTTCGTAGTGGAGTAGAAAGCCAACGTTTCAGTGGCGCAGAGTGCACATCTGATTGCGTCAAACGCGTTGCTCTCACTAGACTCCCACTTCCACACAGCATCTTTTTTGAGTAAGGCGTACAACGGTGCCATGATGGTGGCAAAATTCGGAATGAATGCTCTGATGTAGTTCGCAGAACCGATGAACGATTGCAGTTCACTCACAGTAGTTGGAGGTTTTGCGTCTTTCATGGCTGTAGTGCGCTCGGCTGATGGCGATACACCCTCCGCTGAGAATGTGTGCCCCAAGTAGGAGATGCTGTCAAGCATGACTTCAAACTTCTCGAGTTTTAGTTTCATGCCGACTTCTTGCAGGCGCTGGAGAACTTTCACAAGGTTCGCTCGATGCTCGTCAGGTGTTTTGCCCGTAACCACAATGTCATCGATGTATACAATGCATCCATCGATGCCAGCCAGCACAGTCTCCATGGTGCGCTGAAAAATGGCAACAGCCGAGTGTACACCGAACGGTAAGCGCACATATTCAAACAAACCACGGTGAGTATTGATAGTGGTGTACTTTCGGCATGATTCATCGAGCTCGAGCTGGTGATACGCCTGCTTGAGATCGATTTTGGTGAATTTCGTACCGCCTGACAATTTAGCGCGGATCTCAGCGATTGTAGGTAGCGGATAGCTTTCCAGCGGTGAATGTGCATTCAGAGTGCGCGAGTAATCCGCACAAATGCGAATCGAGCCATCCGGCTTTTTGACCGGAACAGTTGGCGTTGCCCATTGTGAATATTCAACTTTCTCGAGAATGCCATCGCGCTCGAGTTGATCAAGAGCCTCATCGTATTTCTCAGTAATTGCAAATGGGACTTTGCGAGGCTTGAGGAAAACCGGGTGTGCGTCGTCAACACGCAGGTTGACCTTCATTGTGTTTAGTTTGCCCATTGAGGTAGAATCAAACAGATCTGGAAATTGGGCCATAATTTCCTCACGCAGTTGAATTTGTGCCACGGTTTCATCAATTCTAGTTTTGACAGAGAAGATTTCATTCCATGGCAATTGAAACAGTTGTAGCATGTCCCTTCCCAAAAGGGATGGTCCCGAGACATCTACAACTCTGAGCTTAACGGGCGCTGTCGTACCATTCAAGGTGACATTCATTTCAAGCTCGCCCAGGCAGGTAATAGGCTTATCAGAGAAACCCCTCAACAGTACGGTGGATTTAGGTAAGGTAGACAGAACCCCACCCAGCTTCTCGAAATCCCGTTTATTTAGTATGGACACACCACTGCCAGTATCAACTTCCATGCGAATAGGGATGGGTACCTCATTGATTACAACATCCACAGCAAACGGGGGTACGCTGCCTGTAGTATCACGTACAGTATACATTGGAACGCTCTCACCTGCGTCTTCACAGTCAGAGTCGGAGGTAGAAAGATCCTCACCCATGACATGGTGACAGTCACGCTTGTCTCTCTGCAGTTTAGTACGACAAACCTTCTCCAGATGCCCCCGTTTGTGGCAGTACCGGCACTCGGCGTCCTTATGTCGACACTTGTTTGCCAGGTGCATATCCGACCCGCAGCGAAAACAACGCTTTCCGGACGCCATCGGCTGCTTGGTGGATCGACGTTCCTTCGTCATGTGTACGGGAATGTCCGTGGAAGACCCGATCGGCGCAGAAGCAGCAGAGGATGCAGTGAATTGTTTTGAGTAGGAAATGGCCAGTTCCTCCTTGCTAGCCAGGTCGATGACTTTCTCAAACGTGTCAATATCGGACTCCTTGGAGAGTAACAATTTCCGTCGTATCGTCGAGCTTGCCATGCCCGAAATAAACTGGTCCGTGAGGGCTCGGTCACGATGGGAGCCAAATTGACAATCGACAGCAGCACGCTTGAGTTTATTAGCAAAATCGACTGTAGTTTCACCCGGAGCTTGGGAGACTTGGCGAAACTGAAAAGCGGCGGTGGTTGGGGTAGTGTTCTTTTTGTAGTATTTCTCCAGTACAGCACAAAGCTCGTCATACTTCTTTGACGCGATCTCGTCAGGTAGGATCAGGGATTTCAAGGTTGAGTAGACCGTCTTAGAGAGCAGGGAAATTAGATGCGCTGTCATTCTCTTCTCCGCTGCTCTCTTTTCACCAGAAGAGGCATTGGACGCCACGACACCAATACTATTGGCACAGAAGAAAAATTCAACGCGTTCGCGATAGTCTTTGAAATCACCCCCGTCGAAAGGCTCGATGGTGGCGGCGTAGGGCAAGTAAGTATTCGTCGCCATTTGTATGGTCCCTGCCTAGACCATACAATGCTCTAATCATGCAGTTTATACACACACGTAACTGGCTCACTCTGAACTGCTCTGAACTCGGAATGTAATTATCTTCAACCAGACTCAGCTGCAGCAAGAGAAGACTGCCTCCGAACATCCCAAAACCAACTTCACACGAGCATGCATCTCTAGTGCGCATGCTCGTGAGAAGTCATAATAATATGACTTGACTGAGGGACACAACAATGCTGATGGTGAATTCCTTGGCTATTGTCTTCCTCATCTGGCAGTCTCCATCACAGCATGGTGGAACACATCAATGCTGAAGTCGTCCTGGCCACAATCACCGACATCAACATTGCACTGCAGTGGATCAAGTCGACGTTCCTGTACATCCGGATACAGAAAAATCCCACCCATTACGGTAGGTGTCCAACAGCAGGAATTTTATAGTGCCTGTAGCTCTGCAATGGTTGCATGCAGCTCCAGTATGTTCCAAGGCCTAAAAGGGGGGGGGGGGTAAGTTTTCTTATTTTTATGTTTTATGTTCCCTTCTCAGTCAACCCTGTGCACACATGCACGTGCTAGCTGCTCTTGCTGATGTATTTCCCGTAAGCACTCTCAGAAGACTGTCTTGTACAAAGAGTTGGTGGACAAGCCGTTGATTATTCACTCTCATTGTAATATCAAAAAGTATTCTTTCTAGACCAAAGAGTGGTATATTTGATAACATTTAATAACGATAGAAATTTTTACGATACTTCTCCAGACGTTTCGTTGTTCTGAACAACATCGTCAGTGGATAAAGAAGATGTTGTTCAGAACAACGAAACGTCTGGAGAAGTATCGTAAAAATTTCTATCGTTATTAAATGTCTTGTACATGTAGCTTTTATGAGTTGTATGAGAAGAAGAAAGAACAGCTGGCGTGTTTGCTTTCTGTAGCCGATGGACATTCCGAATAATTCCTTACATGTAAAGAGCCGGAATCTGAAATACTATAAAAAAACAGTTGTGTGTTTGTATAGCAAAGTTCAAGCGCATAGGAACGAACGAAAGACGGACCCCCCCCCCCCCCCCCAACAACAATCAATAGTAAGATCAGTCCAGGACATAGCCAGCTGGTCGAGCAGGAGCAGTGCAGCCATGGTCAGACCGACGAGGAACCAGAGAAGGAGCAAGAACGGGATCCGTAGCGGCCAGTAAATTTTAAGAGGACATCCAACCATGAACATTTATTAAATTTAATGCCATTGGAACAGCCTCAGCAGTGATAGATGACAAGGGCATCAGCCCAGCGAGTAAAGTAATCTACAATCACAGGACACACCTTTTTGCAATCGGCATCAGTTGTAGTAGAACAACAACATCCAAGGCACCAAACTCAAAAGGAAAACCAGCAGCCATGGACTGCAGTGGGGCACTGTGCACCAGATTCGTGGAGGCCAACTGAGCACATGTCGCACAGCTCTGGACAAACAGCTGCACATTAGAAGCCATATCCTGACTAATCTCAGGAGAAGAACTTATCGGGAAATATCAAAAGCGATTCACAACTTCATTTTTCAGGCTTTCTCCTCTCTGCTGCACCTTTTCTGGACAGGTATTCCTAAAAACATGGAACTGGATATGGTGGAGAAGAAGCTGCTCGGTAAGTCAGAGTAAGGAATACTAAGGATGGAGTCAGACGCTGTTTATTCTTCCTCTTGCCCCGGAAAAGTGTATGTATTTGAACGGCATGGGCATGGAAAGGCATAATAGAGTATGTTTAGTAACTGTGGATGGCCATTGATGAATCTGGAGAGACTTTTCAGCAAAAAGACTACCGGTATGTGTTCTTGTTTGGACTGAGTGGAGTAATGTGTATAGCGTTATGGCTGCAATGGAGCTTGCGAATCCTTAGAGAACCCGATATATTCTGGAGTAATTTTACACCAGTCAAGTTCACCAACACAAGTTGAATTGTGTTCTCGTTTCATGGTCAGCGAGTGTTTGTCGTCAGGAAATATTCTGCCTTGAGAAAATGAGAATTTTCACCACCACCGCCCAAGTTGCTAGGTCGCAAGATCATACTTTGCATTTCTAGAAAAGTGATATGTATTAGGCGGTGTTAGGTTTCCAGCCATGTCGCCTTGGATCATAACCAGAAGGTTGTGATTGACTCCACGACTATTTGTGCTTTCAATACACTCCAGACCTGTGTGTGGAGAGTTTGAAGGTGCTGGACGATGCAGGATTGGTGTGTCTCACTGATGACTTGACTCTAAACCCAACAGGTCAGTGAACTACATGCTGTTGTTGTCAAGACGATTTCCTTTTTCTTTTCAAATGACCGGATGCCGTCTCCTTATTTCCATCAAATCCACACACTTGATGATAGCTTGCATAGACCCGGTCCTACCGGTAAGACCATCATACACAGACATGCGACCTTTTCTCAGAACCAGCGAGTTTACGATGGCAAAATGTTTGCTCAGCAATGTGACCACATGCATAGTTTACATACACCCATTGAAGTTTGATTTCATGCTGATGAATATTCACGTTACGCTCTTCTGTTGTCCGTGCCTCTTTTGGAACATGTGCTCTGTGTGCGCTGGGTCCGTGCGGGCGGTGTGCGGACCGCGCGCGGACTGCACAGGTTGCGGCGTAGCGCGCATGCGTGCATTGTATGCATTCTTGTTTTTCTGTTCCTTGCTTCTTCCTGAGACTCTCCTAGGAGTAAGACTAAAGTAATCAGTCCTCTGAGTGTGGTGCACGTGGGACGTACATGTGATCGTGAGAGTAATCGGAAGAGCCTATCGTCAGGGGGATATTAGTCGGTAGAGCATGAGACTCTTAATCTCAGGGTCGTGTGTTCGAGCCCCATGTTGGGCGCCGATTGTCGTCGGGGGGAGGGGGGGGGGGAGGGGTTCTCATAATCTTATCCCCCTGACGATAGGCTCTTCCGATTACTCTCACGATCACATGTACGTCCCACGTGCACCACACTCAGAGGACTGATTACTTTAGTCTTACTCCTAGGAGAGTCTCAGGAAGAAGCAAGGAACAGAAAACAAGAATGCGTACACGCGCTGCGCCACAACCTGTGCAGTCTGCGCGGTCTGCACACCGCCCGCGCGGACCCAGCGCACACAGAGCACGTGTTCCAAAAGAGGCATGGACAACACTTCTCGCGAAAGTTGCGAATATTAATGCGCAGGGGTTATTTTATAGCAGTTAACCCTCATGCCACACAAGAGAAACGAGCCCGTGGGGTGTCGCAAGCGTTAATTCAAACATGCATAATGATGAGCATGTGATCGGTAATCAAGTATGGCGTAACTCAGTACGAGGTCATAATAATTATGATGTACACATATCACGTATCAGAGAGGCAAAGACAGCGGAAGCAACCCGTGGGCTCGTGCGCCGTCGGAACGGCTGCGTGTACTATTGGTTGCTATGGCAGCGGAACACTAAATCTTAGTACACATGAATAGTTCAATAGTGCCGATATGCGTGCACCATGCGGCGCCCATCGGCAGCACCCGTTCCTCCAATAAAGGTACTGAGAGGCTTGCGACACCCGGGCTCGAGTAGTGCTGTGGCATGCCTGCGGGCCTGCGGATGTACGTGCTGCATGCCCCGCTGGACCAGCGGCCTGCCGCCATCAGGGCATACTCTGGGACGCCTCGATCCGCCATGTGTGTGGCTCCCCTGGCGCGTAGGGAATGGCTGCTGATGCTTGGATCTAGCACTTTGTGAAGGATAGCATTGATGTCATTTGGCGTGAGCCGGCGACCGTCCCGAAACTTGAAGAGGGGTCACTTGTCATTACTCCATGTGCTGGACTGAACGTAAGCCTGCAGGGCTCGGACGGGGCATATTGCGGGGTCGGCATAACGGTGCAGCGCTACCTCCCTGGCTGTTGTTAGTTGAGATGTCTTCGTCCTCTGGAGCTGCAGAGAGGCCTGCTGGGCTAGTCGGAGGTGTTCGCGCCTCAGAGTCTTGAGGCCGCCAGGACCGTGGGGTGATGGCGATGTGTTATGTCTGGCCCTAAGGGCCCACACACAGCATTACACAGGTTCATATGGTTATACTAATAATGAAAGAACTGAAGGACAAGGAAAGAGAGCTCACATTCTCGGACGTCTAGTCCAGCACAGCAAGCATGCAAAACAGCCACGAGCCAGGCGCGCATGCGCCTTATCACATCTACGTATACAGCACGATGTGTACTCACTGACACACAGTAGTCCGTGGAAGGCTGTCGCTAGAGCAGCCCATAGCATCAGTATGTCTCCTGGGGAGTAGATTTCGGAGGATTTTGTACCAGTGCTGAGCTCTTTTGCTCGTTTGCCAAGAAAAGCAGAGGTACACGACCCGGACAAATGCCCCACCTTCTTGCAAGTGTAGCAAGTGGGGAGGGCCTGTCACGCAAAACGTGTCGCAAAAAGCTCAACATTGAGCTCGGCCAGGGATCGGCCTGGGTCCTTTGACAACGCCTGGCGCGCCTGATGTCGTAGTCAACGACTGCCGAGAAGCGGTATTTCCTGGCTGCCTGCACCATACAGATTTTGTGCTGCATCAGTGCAACAGTGCAGCGGAAATGATCATGGATGGCGATCAAGCTAAAAATGGACCATGCCTCGGTCCAAGTGGCAAGGTTCTCTATTTTTCCTTTCGGTGCAGTTGTTCCCGAGAGTGCCCCTTTGACATCGGTTTTGAACCTCTTAGGGGCTGGCTCCCCGGAAGAAAATGATTGTGGCGGAAGCAGCATTGCCAGATCGATGTACTCAATCCACCTGATACGATTGACTGTCTCTAGCGAGACGTGAGAAATGCAAGAGGGGTAACCCATGTGCGTATGGTGCATAAAGTCATCAGCACACGTACTGTCAGTTTCCTCGATTTGATCCGTGGTGTTCTCTGGCGCCCCGCCGCTGAGGCCTGCTGCCACGCTGGCTGCCACGATCTGCTGGATTGTCTTCCGCTGTGCCGGTGAGAAAGCCATGACGGATTCTATTACTGCTACAGTACGGATGCTTAGAAGAATAAGCAATTACTGAGGCGGGCAGGCACAACAAGCAACTGGCTGAAGTGTCTTTACTTGCTCCTGCCTTGCAAGGGTGACCTTGGGTGAGCTTGCACCCAAGGCAGATAGGTGGCTTATACGGCATGCCATACGTGCATCGCGGTTGTGCCCCCGCGCGGGAGCCCAGCAGGGCGTACGACTACAGCGGAGCTCGTATGAGATTGTGCCGGTTTTGGCGTGTCTACAGACAACGTCTCCATGTAGTAGATGCGGCTCTGTGACGTGTAGGTTAACTACGGTTTGCGCAACGCAAACCAACATTTTGCAGGAGACGTTTGTCGAAGCCACTGAAAGGGAGTGGGACCATGTCACACAAGCAATACATGATGCTGAGCCAAAGACGTTTTGACTCTGCTTGTCTTCTCCATTCTGGTCCGGCTGTCTTCTGGTGTGTCTGTTTTGTGCAGATACTGGTCGCATCATGGCTCGATACTATGTCACATTCGACACAATGAAGCGCTTCGTCAATATGGACAGTGTTGATGGCTTGAAAGAGCTCCTGGCCATCGTCAGCAGTTGCAAGGAGTTTGATGACCTTGTGCTGAGAGTCACGGAGAAACGAGTCCTCAACACTATGAACAGTGACAAACACCGGGAAACGATACGCTTCCCGCTGCCGGGGAAGATCAAAGCAACGGACATGAAAATCAACTGGTGAGTCTCTTTGCTCTAGTATTTGGACCGTCACTCAAAATTTGCACAGCAGAACTAAGTAAGCGTGTCCCCAAATGTCAGAGCTTCTACTCTTCTGATCTTCAGTTTTCCCATTACAGTGTTCTCAGGATCTCAAGTAAGATTGGAACACACAATGGCATCTTGATTACTACAAAATCGTACTTTCCCCATCTTCTTCCCCTTACGATGTAGTGTAAATGTGCATGTCCACAAGCATTTGTTCCCATTCCAAGGCATCGACAGCTGTGCAAGTCCGGGCCGGCAAATATGAGCCTTGGTGCAGACTTCAACTATCACAACTGTAGCTGGATGTGCAATCAGTTTGTACTTACTACTGGGAAATTCAATAACAGTTTACAATACAAAATGCAATACCCCATCTGAATGCTGCCTCCACAAGAATCCCTCTTTTCAGGTCACCCCCATGTCTTGTCAGCCACTCTAATAATTCTGACGCACGTATTGTCCTGCCCAGTCTCATCCAAGCCACCCTGGGATGCATACCAATTCTGGAGATGTCCCTCGGCCAGGATGCCCAGGTAGGAAGCACTGGACAAAATTGGCACATGTAGCAATTTGGCGAGATCACGGTAATGCTTTTAAAACTTCTCTTGCTATTTGCCTGGTACATACATCTGGCATTCAGTGACTGGTGGCTGGTCACAGTGGCAAGGTATTGGCACACCAGAGATGCAGTAAATGGTGCGCTAGTCAGAGTTAAAATGAGCACCGCTCCACACGAGTATGTTGCATGTACCGACATGACTCAAGGCACAGTACAGCAGTGTGTTGGTTGTAACCATGGGAGAACAAGATAAGGTAGGGGCCCGGCCTGCAGACTTGAAGTTTACCCGCCTCCTGGATTGTGTTCTGTGGTTTTGGTGTTGAGTCAGTAGTGTTGTAACTCTACTTTCTTCACCTGCTCCCAGCCCCGTGTCATCTCCACACTTATACCATGGACGACAAGATAACCACATTAGAAAGACTGCTTATTGCAACTACGGAAACACAACTAGATATGACGAACTCAACGCAAAGACTCCTATTCACACCACAGCAACACGCGCATGCACCAAAACCGCGTACACACGACGTACACAAAATAACGTACTACAACAGTAGTAGTGATCCTAGTAGTACTTCAAAGTAAGAAAGACTAACTGTAATTCAGCTCTTATAGCAAGAGAGAATAGTGGTACAAGAAGGTGGAGGCGAGTGGGTTAGGTGAGGGCGTTGCAGCAGGAATGCTTTCAAAGTCTCTCTCCCTCCCTCCCTACCCACCTACCCACTCACCCTTGGTGCATTTAGGTGGCCATGAAGTCGAGACCCCAGGTCGGCGGAGCTTCCTAAACCTCACTACCACTGCCACAATTCAAGTTGTGCGTGCTTCCCTAGCTGCAGCTCATGTTTGGCATTTTTAAAGTGGTCTTTGTAAAAAAAAAAAATAAACAGCAGTTTGCGGCAAGTTATCGCCAGAATGCACTAACAGTATGGGCGGGTGGGCAAACCCAATCTCAAGTCACACTGCACTTCACATTATGCACTAAATCATCATACTAAAACTGCATGTACCAAGAAATGTGGATGTATTTTGATGTCGGTTTCGTGTCACCTTCTTTCTCTCTTTCTGTGCTCTCGTGCTAATCAGAAAATATTCAGAAATGGAGTTCGCATCACGAAGTGTAAGGCTTACACAGATGCCATCTGTACTGAGTTTTCACTGCATTGATGACTACTTGTATGTGTATCTTACCCGTGTTGCCAATTGCAACGTCATTGGTGAGCTTGTCACGGATGACTTGCATGCACGCGCACCATCTGCACCATCAAAATTAATATCGTCTGCATGTGATCCAATTGTATATTAAACCGGCTTTTGGTGTGGATTTGCTGGCAGTTGCGTTTCCTAGTTCTGCTCTCCTCACTATTGATACGAACTTAGACCTCGTTGGAACAACCAACTTCCTCACTATTGATGTTTTAAGGAACACTTGATGCCAACTCCGCATTCTTGCTTTTCTAGGTCTTGCTGATTGTCTAATGATCAGTGGAAGCTTCTCATCGCTATCCAGTGCTCTCTTACTTGCCAAGTGCTTCAAGGCCAGGTAAAGTATGGCGTTTACGAAGAATTGGACTCATGGGAATAGATGATATGCCAAATAAGCGCTCGAAAAGTTGAGAGGGCATGCGATTGATGCGCCCAGGCTTAGCTTGTCAAGTGCACGGGATGTGCAAAGTACACGGATTTTAGGCTTGTTGCGCGAATTACGCGATCAGGTGCTGCACGTGCATGAATGGAATGCATGCAATTCCACTGTTATTGCATTTTAGCATTCTGTCGGAGAAAATTTTCGGATGAAGAAAAGGAACTCTGACACCTTTGTGCATAGTTTGCTTTCAATTTTTCATTTTGATATCCAAATATGGCAGCAAGAAATAGTACACCAGCCATAGCTTCTCGTTTTGCGAACCCACCTGTCGGCGAAACGATTGCTAGATGGACTTTTGCTCAGCTGAAGACGTACATGTACGTGAGGGAGAGATACCGGTAGATGGAAAGCGAGATGATTTGTTGCAGAGGTAGGACCGAAAGATTTTATTTTATTCCCAACGCCCCAGAGCTTAGGACGGGGGACAATGATGGCAGTCGGCTCCGAGCAGCGAAAGGGCGATGAAAATCCGTTCCTCCTTCACTGGTCGCTACAGCAGCGAATACCTTGACACCATCTGCATCGGGAACAGAAGAAGCTGCTTCTCCGCTGAATCCATCAAATCATAGATGCTGCTCAACAAACAGACGCAGAATTTCCCACCGAGGCCTGGAGCCATCGCTCGGAGGATTTGCTAAGTGGTGTTTCTGCTAGTGCTGTACTCCAGCATCTTCAGAATCGATAAAGGTACCTAACGCCGGACACAGAAACCATTCGGGGATGAGTCCTTCTTCTCGCCATTCGTTTACAGTGTTGAGTGTTGCTTCCCAGAGCCAAAGAATTCTGGACCGCAGAGATACTTTGTCAAGGCTAAGTGTTGGGCATCTCAAAAGAAGAAGGAGAGCTAAGTGTGTGCTACAGTGCTAAAAGAAAAGCATGTACTCGAAGTGATGTCTGCATATTGCAGTTGCACTGCAGCATTGCATGCTCCTTCCACCACATTGTTGCATTGCTGCTGACCATCAACTATTGTGAGATGAAAGGTCAATACCTGGCATATGCAACCTAGCAACAACAGCAATGGGGCACAAGGGCCAAGGAACGTAGTTGCGAAAACCCTTATCAACCACCTGGGCATACTGACACTGGCAACATTGATTTGCCTTTGTACTGGGAAATCCCGCCTTCCCTATCCCACATCACAGAGAAGGTGCTTCTAACAGAGGTAATAGCAATAGAGCGCCATACCCAACAGCAGATTGGCAGCGGCATATGGCATAGGCTGAGAAGCAAGACCCTGACTGCTTCGCGGTTTTACCTCATCCCTCACCCGAGTGAGATCACATCAGCGTTTCTTCCGTCATTGCTCCAGGCAACCAGTTTGTCATGTGCTTCCGCTATTCGTCAGGGCCAGCACAAATAGAGTTGTTCTATTTTTGTTGTATTTATCATTTTACTAGGGCCATCCCTGCAGACAATGCGCCTTTTTACAGGGTGCTCGAGGTAAGTGGGAAATGGCGTATTGCAAAGAGGTTACGTAGAAGGTTGTTATAACATAACAGCCTTCTACGCAGCCTCTGCGGCATGACGAAGGAGGCTGCCTAGCAGCCCCCCGATGGAAGAAAACTCCAGCTATCACTGCTATCAGAGACCAGGTACCGGTATGTTTTGCAAAGAGAAGCCATGTCGTGAAGAAGCATTAGGTAGGGCTAAAGCGAGGGTGTACTATCCCCTCAGCAGGCCTGGTCAAGGCTTCCGTAGCCAGCGTAGGGTGAATATTTTGACCTAAAAACAAAGTAAACTCTGCAAAGAGGGGGCTGAGGCGCTATGGCATGGCAAACAATAATTACTATAAAGTTTTAATGGATGGCGACGGGAATATTTTGTGGCGGTGACAAATGGTGGCTGCTGGGTAGCCAAATGTTATCTTGAGACTCCGCTTGATACGTCGCATGACTGTGTTGTCCAAGGTTACTGATATGATGCCTTGTCTTTGAATCGGGATACCCGCAGAACTCCAAACATGCGACTGTTAGTCATTTCGCTCAATTTTGCTACTTTATTCTTGCAGTCACCCAGATTGCATTGAATACTGTCGAATGCTTCCTCCAGCGTAGGGACAGTATGCCTAGGATAGTACTAGGTATGAGTCGTATGTCTTCAGGCTGCTCCCGTGCAGTAGCTCACGACACGAGGTAGAGCGACGCCGGTTAGCATCAGCCGCTGTTGTCTTGGCGGACCAGATTGAAAACTCCAGATACAAACTGTTTTACCAGTCTTGCTCTGGCGATTTTCTCCCCTTGTAGATCTACATAATCTTCTGGCAAGAAAAGGTCAGATCACACCACTGTAGTGTCACTTTCTTTTACTCTCCTTCCCTTTCCTCCCGTCGAATAGCAACAGTCCATTTCCTTCACAGTTCAGGATGATGGAAATTTATGGAAAAGACGAATACCATTTGCTGCGGCTGGGGAGTAACGCCGGTCACCAGTACATCCTGGAACACAGCAATGGTCGTGGTTGGTCGGTATCCGAAAACAAGACAGCGAAAAATCACTCCAGCCGCTATATTAAAAGCAAGCAAAACTGTTTCTTCTATCCAGATTTACAGCTTTAGTTTCAACGCCGAAGGAAGTGCTAAAACTAGTAACGGTGGAACTGCATGCATTCCATTCATGCACGTGCAGCACCTGATCGCGTAAGCGCGCAACAAGCCTAAAATCCGTGTACTTTGCACATCCCGTGCACTTGACAAGCTAAGCCTGGGCGCATCAATCGCATGCCCTCTCAACTTTTCGAGCGCTTATTTGGCATATCATCTATTTAGTCTATGGCAGAATTCAGCACACTGTCTTGTGCATGAATGCCTAGTGAATGCATGTAACCCATATTTACCCTTGCTAGCAATCGCCTGCCGGAACACGGCAATAACCAGTCACAAATCAATGTCATTTCTTAGCAAAGCATGCACACTTATGCTCTGTACCCTTGTGAATGACAAAAGCAATACTGCATCAGCTTGTGGTGTCATGTGACCAGCTAGGTGATCCGTAGTAACTCAAAAAAATCATTCAATTTTCCTTGCATCCGGGCATGACTCGTTGGTTAAAGCCGTTGCCCGTTGACACATGGTCTGGTGTTGGGCTCCCTGCTGCAGCGTGCAGACAAATTGCTCACCAGTCGTACCAGAGACGCAATGGGGTATGGTAAGCACCCACCCCTCTCTCGGAGGCAAATATCACATTCAAGGTTTTTGCATGTAGTGATCAGTGATCGGAAAGGGGCCTGCAGGGGTGATTCTGGCCCAAGTTTTCGTGTGAAAAGTGCGGCTCTTATCCGGGGTAACCCCCGAGTATACAGTAGACACTCCACTAAACTGGACTACTCTAGTTGATTCCCCTGTGTTTGTTGTTATCGGCTCTGCAACAGGCTATGGGATAACTCCAAGTTGCTCGCACGACAGCTAGACAAGATAGGTAAGACCATAAAATACGTGCACTGCATTAGTTGCAGAGCTCACATTTGTGTGGTGTATGGTGAGATTGATTTAGGGTGAGTCATGTGACCCAAAATTGCGCCTTGGTCAATTGGAAGTTTGAATTTTGGGGTAACACAGAGGAAGCATGTTGTACCATCACACGGAGGTCGATGGATCAAAACCCTACTCTGCCACCAAGATGGATTGGTAGAAACGCCCTCCGCCCGCATGTTTCAGTCTCGACGCAACACTCAACATCTCTGGATAGTGCACTAGTTTCACTGGCAACTGACGAGTACGGTTTCTTACCCTGTCCTGGCATGCTGCTTGTCGCGAATGCGATCGGATTTATTCGTAGTCACGAGCACAATGCATGTATATAACCAAGAATTCACAGCTACGTATACATGTATCCTTGTTCAGTGCATGATTTGTACGTTCAATCACTCGCATCCCTTTGTGACACCCTTTTTCTCATCTTGCACTCGTTTGTATATCTAAGGTTCAATTCTGGGCACCCTTTCTCTCACCTTGCACTTCGTTGCATTTCTAATGTTTCCGTTCCGGGCACCCTTTGATTCAGTTTGAACCCATGCACCTTGGCTTGCACACGCACCGACATCCAACACGGACTGTGTGTACGACTATCGGCATCTTTGATGGCCTTCACTATCCATTTTCATGCTCACAGTTGGACTCGTTGCACCGTGCGTATCTTTATGTGTCACCCTTTCAGCTACATGCACGTGGAGCTGTTTTAGTTCCACAACTTGGTGCTCTTCTTGCTTCTCTTTGATTCTTCGCTACTCCTTGGGAGCTAATTTCGATGCGTTTGTATATTCATCGCTTGTATATTTCTGCTGACGCTGTACGCAAGACACTTTCACGGCACACTACTGCTACAGGCATGCACTCCGACTCACCTATATTATCGCTCTCCCCTTGTAAATATTCAGTTCAGTCTTGATTCACAAGAAAATTGGGCACTAAGGAAAATATGGTCTGCTTCGAGTGGTTTATGTAAAGGGTATGTACATGGTTCGCGACATTTTGGTACCGAAACCCGGGAGAGTCGAGCGGCGACTCTCCTAGTACAGGAATTTGAACGACCGACGAACCATGGAAAACCAAGCGGCGGTGAGGGGCAAGCGCCAAAAGGCTGCTCGTCACCACAAGACAATCAAAGATATGGAAACGACAACGGGTAGTTTCCTCTCAGCAATCTCAACGGACATTGAATCGGATCCAGCAGCAGTCAGAGAGCTATGTCAACACAATTTCCAATTGGACTCGCATCTCGAGGCACTCGAAATATCGCTGGAAAAGTATACTGATTTAATTAACAGGTACGAAATAAAAGGGTCTGACGACCAGGAATTCAAGGAAAATCAAACGGAATGGATCGAACTAATGGATGAATTTATACGTGTAACTAACATTAATTTGGTGTCACTAAAATTCTTACAAATGGAATGTCAAAAAAAGGATCCGCAACCTGCAGCCACGGCAATGGCGGCAGGAACTACAGCAACTATAATGGATGACGACAAACTCGACAGACTGCTGTCGGAAATGGTATCAATGAATCAAAGCAATCAGAGCATCATGACAAATTTGACGAATTCTCAGAGTAATGCTAGCAATAATGCAAGTTTTGCGTAGCTAAAGTATGTTAACGCGGTGACGTAATGTTTTCACTGTATGCTGATGTCTATCACGCGCGTGTTCGCGCCAGCTCACGGATGCGCCGTTGTGCGCATGCGCAAACTCTCCCAGCAGCTCGCTTTGCATACGTACGCCCTTCAGCAGCCTTCGTGCCTGGCTCTCTTTGTTAGTTTAGAAAAGCGATCCTGTCAGCTTTTCTATTATTGTGTTCACATGGCAAGAAAAACGACATCGCTATGCTACGTAAGTTTCTACGTAAGGTGCTCGGTATTTCACTTAGACTACGTAAGTCTCTACGTAAGGTGCTCGGTATAGGTATACCAAGAGTCCATTATGGACTCTTGGTGTACCGGTATTAGATCTACCAACGGGTGGTAGCCGCGTGCTGTGCACGTGCACGGCAGCCGGCAGACATTGTGTTGCATGCATGCAGTGCAGTCCGTGTTCGGACGTGCATGCGCGAGGAACTTCCTTCTTTGGAACTGCTTCTTGTATGAGCTGTTTCGGATATTTCGTCTCCTGGCCTGGCTTATTTCGTTTCGGCGCTGCTGAGACCTCCTTTCGCGGAATATTACTCAATGACAGGTTCGTTGACCAGTTCCCTTTGATTCATTTGCTTGTGTTCACTCTTTCATTTACGAAAAGTGTGCTGATTTTGGGCGGAATGCAATAAATAATGGAAAAGCTGACAGGATCTCTTTTCTAAATTTTGCTTTTCCGCTGCCGAGGTCTCCTTTTACGGAATACTCGATGACAGGTGATCGATCTCTGAGTTGACCTGTTTCCTTCGATTCATTTCCTTATGCTCACCCTTTCATTTACGGAAACGTGTGCTGATTTTATTCGGATTTAGATCCATTTTTATCTCTTTGCCCTTGTCTACAGTGTGCGAAGAACGCGAGTTCACCTTCTTGACGGTAAGGCTCATGTTAGATGTGTTGTCGAAATACTCATATTCATTGTACATTGGTACGTTACAAGTTAGGCACTGGTCAGTGGCATACCATCGTTGGCAGTTCCCAATCTGGAGGGAAAGGTTCAAGGACCCATTGAGTTTGCAAAATAAATTCGCATACGGTATCAGGGAAAATCTCCATTGTGGAGAGGTTCAGTAAACTTGTTTGCTTCATACGAAACAAGCCCATGGGTGCAGTCTCGTCTCGTGAAGATCTCGTACCTGTGGGATTGGATTTGTTTACTAGAGTCTGGGCTGTTTGATTTGTGAGTACCGCCGAGATTGCACTGCCCCAAATAAATTTTCGTGCCGCCAAAGCAAGAATTACGATCTGCAATCTGTTTGTAGTACCTGCAAGAATGTGCTGTACATGTATCGTACTTTCTCTATTGCTGTTTCAGTTGCCGTCATGTTGCTAAAGAAACGTTCAGTAGAGAGGTTCTGCAAAACGAAAATTCGAACGAGGTTTCGCGACAGTCCTTGCGAAAGTGTGTACAAATTTTTGCACGAACTTTGCGTTCTGCACATTTTCGTAGTTTGCGCGGGCCAAGTGCACGTACGCCATGACCCGATCTCACGAAATTTCCTACGACAGTTCATTTCGTGTTCCCTGCAAGTTTCGCGTCCAAAGTTGCGAAAGTTCGTGCGAAGTTTCGCACTTCATAACGTAGAACGAAAGTTTGTACGCGTTTTCGTTTTGCAGAACCTCTCTAGTGACTCATTTGTTTCATACGAGACTAGTCAATGAGTTGGTGTGGCTTAGAATCTTTCGCTATAGAAGAAATCTATTCGTATGTCTATTGGAGAAATAATTGTATTCACTGGTTATATATGTAAAATAGGTTAAGATAAACTCACAGAATAAATACCATCGTTCCCTTGGTGTTCGTCCTAAAGAGGTTCGACTGGATATCATTCATACTCACCAAAAGATGTGTAAGATTTTATCATTTATGGAGTGCCTTGTTTATCTCTCAGTACCTCCAAGCATAGCCTTGCCCCTTTTATCCTCAGGATCAGTGTAGTTGTTGGAACGAGGTGTCGGACTCAGCAATGTATTTGTTTACATTTTAATACATGTTTATTGTTCCTCCTTTGCTGTGTTGTTTTAGAAAATCGTGGACTAACAGTTTGAAGTCATTGAACTACTTCCAAAAGTTGTATCGACATCAACAGAATTACGATTTCAGTGCAATATGATGCAGGATGAGTCTGGATGACCTTATTACGATAACCCATGATTATAAACACAGAATCAACAAAAACATCTGCGACACGCACCTGGTTACATTTCTCAAGTAAATCTGATCCAGGGTGGGGAAATCTGAAATATCTGAAAGGCAAGACAATTTTATGACAGTCATGAAATTCTGCTACAGCAACATGCACAGAATGACCTCCGTATAAAAAGTATCACCACGGTCCATCACTACTCACATGTTTCCCCGCAGAAGAACATGCTAGCCTAGTGCCATTTTCTGCAAGAAAAGGCTTGCACCTCAATGCGTATAATACGGTATTGATATGGTGTGAAGGCCATCATTTACATATTGATACAGTACGAGGTGATTTGGCTTTTTTTAACATTTGGCATTTTTTAACAAATGTGTAAAATTTGCTTTTCTTCTGGCTGTTTCTCTGCTCCGGATGGCTGTATCGAAACATGGGTGGTGGCAAATGGGAGCCAGTTTATCGTAGATCAACATTGACCAGAAAATTTGGTGCATATAATTTAATTCTCCCTGCCACGTTGGTATAACTAGTGGTGGGTGCTTTGCCATTTTGTGTAAAATGTGTAAAATGAGCCCCTGAATGGACGAGGAGGGCAGTGAATTGCTTCCGCAGGGCCTTTGGACGACGTCAGGCCGTCTTGCCATCACTAGAGACAGTAATGAAGAACAGTAGGTCACGGAATGCACTCTGTGAGAACGAAAACATCGCTGCGATGCTATGCTATCTATCCAATTCCACCGTATAACACAGCCACTAGTTACAAATACAAAACACGGCTTTCGCAGCATACAATGCAGTTCACTCCTCTGTTGACAGATTAATTTTCATCCACTAGCAATCCTTGAAGTGATATCTATCAACTTCAGAACATTGATGACCGAATATCCCAGTTTGTGATGCCATTTTACAAATTTGTTAAAAAATGACACACCAATTATTTGAATCCTGAGAATACTGTGAAAGTAGGACATGATTCAAGACACTTTCCAAAGTGGGATCATTCCCATTTTTGGACACAACGGGCATGAAGGATAGCACTTCCACTTGCAACAATTCATTTGGACGTAGCTTGTCTAGAAGTGACTGAAAAAACGTCATTTTACAACCATGTTAAAAAAAGCCAAACCACCTCGTATAGGGCATTC